CCGCTACACCTCCAGAAAGGTTCAAAAGTAAAATCTAGCTTCCCTGATCCACCCACATCTTATATCTACTCTGTGCACCAATCTGCCCTGCACACACCTACACTGCACCTACATATAAAACACATTGACACCTACAGCAGCATTAGTGTAACAAACTGCAGAAAACACATTTGGACATTTGGGGCGAGAGAAAAAAAAAATAATGGCAAGCGAGCGAAGTCAAGTGAAGTGAGACAGGGAGCAGAGGGCTTGTTAAATGAGGCATATCTCCAGAACTGGGTGAGACAACGAGGGAACAAAACAGAAACCTAATTATTACCACCATCTCTCACACACTCCTAGAGGACCTGCATGCGGAAAGGGGTGCACACACACTCCTGCATACACACATACACTGCTGATCAAAAGTTAGGAATCAGCTGCTGATGTTTTTCGTCTTTCCCTCAATAATGACTATTTTAACAGAGACAAAACAAGTATAATTTAGACACAAAATGTATTATATAAGCTGTATAGGTTTTGGAGTAAAACTTACATTTAGTCGACGGCCCCACAGTGTTACATGTTTTTACAATTTGCTTACATATGCTCAGAGTGACTTTGTCTCCTTCTGCCCTTTCAATTGTCAGTCTGGTTCAACCCGTTGTACGGCATGTTTGCAAAAAACATGACTTTTTTTCTGCAAACCCTTCATTCACAATAACATCTATTTGTAAAGAAGACAATTCAGAAATATAGAGCAGTCCTCTCTGCCGTCTGACTGTGACAGTGTGCACATTCACACACACACACACCTGGATGAGGATATGTACAAAAATGACAGAAATGCCTTTTCCCAAGTGTACTCTAGATATCTGCACCGAGTCAAGGAACAACAGGGTTGCTGAAACCAACAGGAGGCTGGCTCCTCAGCAACAACGGACAGAGAGGAGCTGTGTGTCCGCTGGAATGAGAGGCGGAGGACAAGTTTAGTGGGCTCCGTCCGCCCTTCAGAGACAGAACTTGTTTTGTCTCCTTCAGCACCTCCTCTCCCATCTCCATTCCTCCCAAACTGACAAAAACACACATTCTCAAAACTCGTGTTTTCTGGAAACTGCACAAATAATCTCTATGTTTCTGTGTGACTCATTATTTCATGGAGCCATCTCAGTGTCTTTGCCAGAGAGTCTGTTCTCTGTTGGTCTGAGTGGAGTTCGTGTGTGGGTCCATGTACGGGTTTAAAGGACAGCTGCTTCCCCTGGCAGACATGTCACTTCCTGTTCAACGTTTTGGCTCTGGACATTGGTGAATCATAAAATAGACAGGAGTCACTGGGTTTGATCATTTTAAAGCTTTCCACATCTACTTAAAAGCACAATATTGCTCCAGGCATTCAAATTCTATCCATATTTTTTGTTGTATTATACATTTTTTGTAGCTTTGCTGGGATTGAAGACTTGTCTGACTTAGTGTATACCAGGCAATTGCGTCAAAAACGTTACTGATTTGGATGACAAATGTTTTTACAGAACATCTGTCTGTGCTGTAAAATTAAATTTGAGAGAATTTCAGGATACTGTGTGTGTGCGTGTGTGCGTGCGTGCGTGCGTGCGTGCGTGCGTGCGTGCGTGCTTACATTAGCCAATACCAATACTAAAGAATACAAAGAAGCCGACCACTTTCCAGACCAGACGTCAGTCTGGCACTTTGCTCTTAAACCTCATTTGAACCTATTTCATGTAGCCTGGGGAAAGGAGAACAAAAAAAACATCCTGCCAAGCGAAATAAAATAGGTTTTAGTGTTGCAGTTGAATTTCCTGGGAATTTGTGTCAACAGAACAAGATGTCAACGGCCAAAATGTTAAACTTGAGGCCTCAAAACTGTAGTCCATGAACCACGGTGACTACGTCCACTTCTATTTTGCAGTCTATGATAATAAATGTATCATTAAAAAATACATTACTTACTAGTTATTTATTCTTCAACTTCATGTACACAAGACATTTTGCCTACAACTTGGATGTATTCACCGTTCTGCCCATCAACAGCCAATTCAGCCCCGATGTCTACACACTATTTGTGGACAGAATGCATGCACAGATGCACAGTCAGCGCATACACACCCTGACAAAAGGATGTCAATTGTGTTTGTGGAAGGATCCATCTGAAAGGGATGCAACGTTTCCTCCTCACTGCTATCCACTGCACCTCTTCCCTGCTAAACACTTCACCGATGGAACACAATTCTGCCTGGCAAGCCGTCTGCAGCAGCTAATGTAATCTATGTTACAATCTGGCCTGAGTGGGCTGGAAGTGCTGGTACAGCAGTTCCAAACACACGCCTACACACACACACACACACACACACACAAGCTCAAGAACACATGCAAATGATAACATGCCTGTTCACATCAGGAATTGGTTACTATGTAGTATACAGGGCCAATAGTCTGCACTACTGCAGGTGATAATCGTAGTTTCTCATCCCTGATGTACACACATACACATTCATGTGTTTGTTGGAGAGCAGAGCAGATAACACTAAAGAGTTAAAAGTGGAAGGAAGGGAGGCAGGAGCAGAAAATATAGTCGCTTTTGACAGGAATCTAGTTAACGTCCTTCAGTATAAACTTAATCCTGTTCTTTCAAGTGTTTTGTTGTACTTGAGAGTATGTTTTTGTTCTACTTGGATTTCCCAGACATGTTTAATGAAGCAGATGACTGGCCTGTGAGAGATGAATGCATGTAACGAGGTACAACCAGATGGAGGAGGGAAAATACATGGTCTCAGCCCAAAATCTTGAATAAATATTTGTGCATTATTTGACCAACTAACTGTCTTGTCTTGGACTGTGTTTAAAATATTGTCACTGCTTAGGTATTTCAACACTTGGCCCTAAAGAAAAACATTTTAGAGGCTACATATCTGTCATAGTTACGATATACAGTATTTACAGCGATGAGAAAAGAAACGCATGCTCTGGAAATGTAAACTAGTTTATGTGAGTGTGTTTGTGCCATAAAGCAGACTAAAGCAAACTTTCTGAAGGTGAGAGTCAGACATTTGGCAAGATCATGCATGGTATTTCTCATCACTAATCATAATCTGGGCTTTACGTACACATAAAGTGTCCATCTATTCCTCCTTTTGAGTATACATGCAAGTGTAATAAGAATGAATGCAACATTAGAATTGGCTTAGCTGTGTGCAAACATGCTAATTATGAATATAAAGAGCAAACTTTAGTGCTTTCATGGTTGAATAATGAGACAAACATGCACGAGTGTTTGTGTGTGTTTCCTAATGCTTGTGTTGTGTTGGGCATGTGTGTAGTTGCAGCACCACAGCCCTGCCCACATTCACTCTGGTCCTTCTGGTGATAATTTGATAAGTGAATAAGCCAGTGAAGTCCAGTGCCAGGGTGTCGTGATCCACTGACCTCCGTTAGCCAGCTAATTGAATGATTATGCGTCAGCTCCTTGTTCACTTGGTCACTATTGTTCCAGCAGATGTGCTAATGCGCCGTTACAGCCGGGGGGATTTGCTGTACAGCATGCCTCGGAAAACACAAGGCAAAGGGGGCCCCTGTCCCAAAATACACTGTTGTAGCACACGGTTTCCCTAATGAACTCAAAACCATGAAGACAGTTTAGCCAATGTGCATATTCCATTTTTTTAAATTTATTTTATATAAAGCATTATGCTGTTGTTTTCTGCAGAGACAGAGAGCTGTATAACCTTCTACCATCATTGCTTCATACCAGTGTAAACTAGAACAACCAGTCACTATTCATGACAGAGTTGCTCCAGCGATGGCAGCATCCTGCAGCAGCAATGTTGGAGGAACACACAGCTCCTGGAAGCCCTCACTGCATGTTCAAAACGGACAACTCTGCGCTCACAGCGTGTATCATGCAGACACTGTTCATTTTTGTGCTACTTTTAGCCGAGGACTCGGAACGTCACAACAGATACATTTGACAGATTATGCATGAAATTATCTCAATCTCTCTTAACCTCCGCTGCATGGTCTGCCATTATTTTGTCTCAGAGGATTAGTCAACACCCTCTGCCGAGTCACCAATTCTGAATTGTCAAATAATTTGTGATTTACAAAGTGAAATACTTAAGCCTACATCTTGTCGAATGCATTGTATTTGGAAAACGGTCAAGGCCTGCTGAAGATGAATACAGATACGGATAAAGGGTGAATAAAAGTGTGGGAGGAGCAGATAGTGTACATGAAACTTTATCCAAAACATTAACGTATAGATTGGACATAATGACGTTTTCTTTGACTGGTCCGTCAACATAAACAAACAAATGTGAGATTTCTAAAGGATCTGAAACATCTCCGAAACAGTACATCACCATTTATTACATCGCATTAAGTAAATGCTATAAATAGGATCTCATTACATCCTTTTCTCAGCTCGGTAGGCAAAGACAGGTGTGTCTTTGAAACCAGAGGCATTAGCAATTAAAGTGGCTGGCATGTCTCATGTGCAATAGCCTCCTAATGAATAATGGTAAGACAGATGATTGCAAAGCCACGACCACGCTCACAAGCAGAGCGCTCAGATCCTGATGAGACTTACAGGAATGTATCAAGCGTTCAATTTGCTTTGCAGAGACAATTCAGTTACATCAGAAACTCCAGCAAGTCGTGACTGTTTAAAAAGGGTAACAACATGAGGCCCACGCAGCAGACCACACACCACGGCAGGACTACATATTTGGATTGGGAGTGCCTTCCAAGTGTGTCGTGACTGTGAATTTGTTTGTTTTTTCTTACAGGATAATGTTTAGCAGGAGAGGCTCTATCGATCTGAGCACCAAAAGGGAAAAGCCTTTGCAGCATGCCGAGAGCTGCTCGTCACAAGGCCAGCCACGCATGTTAGCAGTTGAATTCACTTTTCCGATAGCAGGGATAGCCACACATACAAACACAAACACATCTTCTTAAGCCCGTTCATTTCAAGGTGAGTGCTACCAGAGAGGGGCGGTTATGAGGCCTACCTGTGACCTGCAGCTTATCCTCAGTGACCTCACACTTGAGGAAAAGACGGCCCCTCCGTTCGGTGTAATCGGTTCCACACAGGCTGGGCACGTTCATAACACACTGATTGTGGACATTCATGTCGCAGGCTGGAGGGACAGAGAGAGGACATGAAAGACATTAGCCAGGAGGGTTTTCATACAGCTAAAGATTAGCTTCATGCGCTTGATGCAAACCAAACTGAAAGCTGAAATTCTGACGCTGTTGTAAAGAACATGCCCTGACTGTGACTGTTTCTATAAAGTTTTCATGCATCTATCATATCTTTTAAAATACAGCTATGATCTTCTGACGATGTTAACAAAATATCTGTGTTCACCAAAACATCATATAATAAAAGCAGTGCATGCAGCCTCTCATGGCTAATGAGAGGCTGCATGTTCAAATGCAGTAAGCTGCTTTAAAAATGTCTATCTTTGTCTACAGTACATTTCAATTTCGTTCCATGTATCACACATATTGGGCACAATATCAAAGGGTGTTTTTTCCAAAAGCTGTGTGAAGGAGGAGATAACAAGTTTATGGCCCAGATTTAGCCATGTGATGTCATGCATACATGGCACGTGTGTCAGCCAGCTGAACCACGCTGTCGTGGATTGGGAACAGTAACCGCTACGTCATCAGGCCACCAAGTCATCAGCAGGTAAGGTGATTAATAAAGAAAATGTCTCTGCTGCTACCTTATTCTTTATGAGAACTACCTATTTTTTTCTGCCTGAGTCACATGGCTCACCAGTGCTTAAAAATAATACAGTGCAATCTTACAGTGGTGTGATTGATCTGGCGAAATAATTTGCCGCTCCGCGTCTCTATTTATGCACACCCTGGAGCAATCATTAGGCATATCTGCTGGTCCGTAGCAGGTTGAAGATAATGTATTTAGGGGCTCATTAAGGCATTCAGACTAATCCACTAACACAAGATGAAAGTGAAGACGAGGGAGGAAGGGATATTAATAAAGACGGCCTATTCAGGGTGCGGGGAACATAGCTGCAGACTGAAATTAAGATGAGTGAAAGACAAGGAGGAGGGGAAATATACAGGTGTGTGATATTCATATAGATGGAGCAATTTCACGAGACTGATTCTGATACAATGTCTTCAAAACAGAACATAAGTTGTGCAGAGCCACTTACAGCAAACCATTATATTCCTATGTATGCCATACTTATGCATCATTGACCTGTGCAACAGAGCAGTGGAGGATTGATTATCCCTCCTGAGCATCGACTTTGGGGTCTCCACCACTTGATACACAGAATTGACATTATAAACTGCCACCAATTCATGTTATACAATAACAAACCTTTTAAACGTATTAAATTAAGTACTCACAGTCGCACTTCATGCCCTGGTGGATGAGGCCGTAGAGCAGAGAGCCACAGTGGTCACAGAAGGTGGGGCTCGTATAGGTGTGGATCTTGAACTTGTGCTTCGTTCTGGGATCCTGGAAAAATCAAACAGACAAAAAGAGCTATAAAAAGCCTGAAATGATGACATGAAAGAAAAACCAAAATAATGAATCAACAGTTGGTCACAGAGTACATACTCTTTATGTTACTTGAAACCTGGACACCAGCAGGTAAAAAACACAGATTCATAACAACGAATTGATTAATTGTCTGAATTTCTGTTCTGCAGAAGTTATGGACAAAAAAAAGACTGATATTAAAACAAATGTAGTTCTTTGATCTAGTACTTTGTTGTAAGTAGTGTTCTTGAGTTATTTTATAGATTTTACATTTGTAGAGCTGTCATAGTGTTTGGAAGGACAAGAAAAAAATCATTTTGTTGTTGGAGGCCATCATTTCATAAATATCTATCCATAAATATCTAGCCAACTACGGCTGCATCCTCGGACACTCACACACGTTATTGAAGGAAAATGGAAATTGCAATCAACCTCTTTCATTACAGAACACCATTGTGTGTCACGGAAATGAAAGACACTCTTGCCAACTGACTGCAATCTCCGCTTCTTTTCTCATTACAACTCGACTCAAGTGTTGTCTAATAAAAGGCTGTTAAGATTGATTGGCTAACTGTTTTGGGGTTGTCTTTCCATCTGCACTGACCACATCAGTGAGTGAGAGTGGAGTTGTTTCACCTCAACGTGCTGAGCATTAAATCCAAGAGCACCAAAAATGGATATTTAATTATTGCAATTACATGATTACATTGACTGTTGTAGGTAGGACTTCAATATTTTGCTTCTTGATTTTGATTTTGATTACTCCATAGAAACTCTCATGAACATGTGAGAATGTGGTTGTTGAGCAAATACTAGAGATGCTGCCTGTCTTATGTATTGATGTGCTTTTGGATTCAATAAATAGTTTGTGCATATATGTGTAAATAGTCATCAAAGCTATTGGAGCTTTCATTGATCATTGGTCTCCTATTATCGCAGGTCATTGCTCCAGGCTCTCCATTAAATAACATCATATTCAGTGTGAAAAGCATTAGGGTTTAATGCAGAGTGCACTGTGCATGTGTGTGTGTCCAGTAAAGGAGCTGTTGGAGGCTGACTCATGTCAGGATCAAGATAACGCACTTGTTTTTGGATTTCTGCTACGCTACAACTATTTTCCTTCATGTGGGACAAAGTCCAGTACTCCATCTTCTTTAGTTTTTGGTATTGTTCTTACATGTCATCAAAAACGAATACATGTTAACAGATTTATTTTGCCAACCCGATTTGTGACTCTTATCAAGAAGATGCCTGAATTATTAAACTGTCAGTGGGTTATTCATAAAGCAAACCACAAGCTCACACCCAACACGGCAGTAATGTATGACACAAACAGGAGAACATAACACGGAGCAGTTATCAGTCAACTGTGCTAGTTTACTATACTAGAGGACCTTGTGTTTTATGGATTCTGTACAATCATTTAGGTGCAATATCTGCAGAATCTGAGAGGGCTAGAAAGTCCATACACAAGACAGAAAACAGTGAAAGCCACTAGGACAGCCAAACTCTAAGAACAAGTGTGTTGTAATGTCAGAAAATGATAAGCATTTTGCAGCATGTAGCTTATGGGAAGTCTTCGGAGCAGACTGGGAAGTTATCTGTTATGAAGCACCTCCTGTAATCTATCACCTGTTAAAATGCCTTCCAAAAATAGGTAACTAGTTATTGACGAGGACGGGCAATATTTTATTTTACAGAGAAATAGACCATTAGTTAGATAACCCAATGGCTTTCTGCCATAAATATTTAGTAGTAGCAGTAATAATAGCAGTAGTAGTAGTAGTAGTAGTATAAACAGCAACAAAGTATTTGTAGAGAGTAGTTGGTGGTGGATGAATGAGTCAAACTCAAGACTGAGTTTCATACATATGTATAGATATGCCTCATCTTTTAGAGTACATGTTCTTATTACATCATTACCAAAATGAACACAATTGATGAACACAGTACACTGACACTGTTATGTGGACTGGACTTAAGACAGGACAAATAGAACAACCCATCTCTTGTGTTTCGTTTGCATTTGTTATTCCCAGGAATTTGGATGGAAAGCTTCCTTCCCCATTTTCAAGTAAATGCAGAGCCCATTGTTTGATCAGGTGCTCATCACCACTGGCCACCGAGCCAGCATCTATTTGAAATTTGGATACTTTGGATACTCAAATAAGTACAATTTCTATACAGTCAAAACAAAAGATGGGGAAGATAAAACATAGTTATAACAGGTCAAGTATTCAACTCAGCTGACAAAAAGTGTAATTAATGAATGAACTACATTAATTAACCCTTGTTACCGTTAACCCACTAAGGGGTGTTTCAGTGGAGTGAGCAGAACCAATAGTCTGGCTTTAACTCAAGATAATAACTTCCGCAATCCTACCGATCAGCACTCCTAAATAGTATATTGAAGTATAAATATTCGTGAGCTGAGTCTATTAAATGTGTCCCTTTGTCTGTCTCTGCAGGACATTTACAATACAATAACATATGGTTTCAAAGTAAACAAATGGCACTGGGAGCAAACTCTACCTTAAGTAAATATCTGTGGGTGTTAATTGAAGCAGGAAGCTCTTTCATATGATCTGTTGAACAAGCAGAACCAGTTTTCACTGTTCTATTGTGCTGCACACTGAGCGGTGAATGAAAAAGAGTGAATGTTAGCATATGCAAACATACAGCATGATGCATATGTATGCATGGAGTAATGACCCATATGTATGCATGGAGTAATGACCCATAAGGCAAATGTGACTGTTATTGTATTTAGGTGTCACTTGAAGGTAAGTGTTATAGTACAGACTGAATACAACGCCTCTGCAGCGCTTACATACAACAGTGTAGGGTCCCTGTCACATGCATGCGTACATTCATTCATCTCGTGCACTCAACCTGCAGCATATGAAGCACTCTCCTGTAAAAACTGGAGGACTGCCACTTTTACAAGTGCTTTCCTGCTCATTCTCAAATTGTGCTGTCCAGTAAATCTCTCTCAGAGTTGGAATCTGTTTAAGTCGATTTGCGTTGAGAAAATTATCCAGGCTAGTCTGTTTGTTTGTTTTCTTTCATTGCATCTATTTGTAAGAACAGCTGTCTTTATATTCTCTAAAAACAGGAGAGTTTCATTCTCCAAAAAAAAGAGCTTGACCCAGGAGAAATAAATCATCAGTAAAGGGAGCAGCACGGCATATATGTCGGTGAGAGCTGACAGTATCCCGCGGTGAGGCGTCACAGTGATCAATGTTGCAGTTTGCCATTTCAGTCAGGTTGACACCGGCCTGTGGTCTAATGCAGCGGAGCCTCATTCTGGCTCCTCAGATCTCGCTTGCAATCTGACATTTCCCTGCCTGTTAGTCTGCAGAGGCTTCACACCTTCATAGGACAAAGAAAAACGCTTCCTTTGTCCGTCTATCAGGCGCCTTTCCGTGATAGGTATAGTAAATCCTGATGTGAAAAAGAGTTGATTTCATTCCAGCTGCCGTAGACATACTTGAATACGTAATTTGAATGCCTTATATTAAACTCCGATTAACATATAAGTCAAGTCAAGGGACAGTTTTCAATCAGACAGGAAGGTATTGAAACATCCTCTTAATAGACCCTTTTACAGCAGACAATGGTTACGTCACGATGTTAGCTGGAGGCGAACACTAATCACCTCAGAGTAGTGGGTTTAAGCTACACATCTAAAAGGTCATCCGGCTGTGTTGTTGTTGGGTGCCAACATCGATATCACATACATTTGAGATGACAAACTGTGATTCTAGGGAGCTACAATATCAGTGAAGCGTTTTAGAGATCGGGAGAAAATGTTGCTCATAGTTTAGTTTAGCCTCCTGCTAACCTTCTGAGCCGTCACGGCACTATTGGATTGGTGGAGAGAAATGTCTGCTTTCCCCACGGTGAAGCAATCTGCCAGTGGCGTAGTGGTAGTGCTAATACGGTCCTGTTGGTTAATAGTAACTTCCTTAAGTGACACTCGCGACCCCGAAGAGTGAGTGACTGTACATATCGAGAGAAAACTTGTAGTTTCTTCGGCCATTATAAAAAAAGACACCAACAAAACTTCCTAGCCAGCGTTAAGTACTGTGTTCAGAATTATTCGCCTTCAAAATAACAGAAAGTCGGTATATCACACAGCTTGTAGTGGTGCAGTCGAAAACAAACCAGGAAGTTACTTTTTGAAATGCAGAAAAGCTCAGCCTTGATGGAGTTATCGCTGAATATAACATTTATTGGCAATATATAAACATTTACGAAACGGTTTCGGACACACTATAAAGTAGATGTAGTTGTCACCAACTGTAACTCCTCCTGTGGGCCCCCATACTGCTTAAAATGTCATTCTAGCTATGATAATTAATGGTAAAATAAGTGAATTCATGTATTTGTGTAGTACTGGTAGTGACCTTTAAAATCCATTGCGATGAGAATCTGCACATTCATTTTGTTCTTATAGTGTGTCTAACACAGTCTAAGTGTCTGAGGACATTTTCTGCTCTTGAGAATGTGATTCCTAAGAATCTCACAGCAACATGTCTCTGACTGCCAAGCTCTTCTGACATGAGCACTTAGATACTGATGGTCGGCTTATCTGAGATGTCTATCATCTTAAGTGACTTTAAACTCCCCCATCGCACGTGACAGTGTGAACACACAGTAGATGCATAAGTAACACCCAACAGCTTGAGGCAATCTGCAGGTATATGGAGAATCGTGATCGACTTGAATTAATTAAATTGGGAGTGAAAATGAAAACACGTATGCAGGATCTAGCTTTGACAGCAAGCCTGAGATAATCTCAGCATTCTCAATCATACTGTAATTTGTGGCCGCTACGATAGCCAACATATTTCACCTTTTTGTCAAATTGTCATTTTCATGGAGACATAGGCACACAAATTACACAATCACATACATTGCACGATGTCCAATTAGCAGCCCCGACGCGCAGGCCAGCAGTCAGTCAGTGTGTC